AATTTGTTTTGAAGTAGCAGTAGAACCAATGCTACTGTTTCAGCTACTGATCTTTCATTTAGGTTTCTGTCCAAATATCACCTCCTCCAGAAGTCCTTCATTAGTGCATCTATACTGATAAAAGGGTAATATGCTAATTAGACTGGGAGACCTTCTGGACATCCTTCTGGGCAAAGCCATGGTGGCGGGGCCGAGGCAGAGGTGGTTAGAGGGGATCAGGTCAGGAGGGGAGGGCAGTTAGGGGTTATCAGGCTGGTGGGGGGAAAGTTGGGAGTGACCAGATTGATAGGGGGGTCCAGTTGGGGCAAACGGGTCAGCGGGATGGGGGGAAGGAGGTTGGGGAGGACAGTTGGGGTGAGCAGGCTGGCAGGGGAGGCAGTTGGGGTTGAGCAGGTTGGCAGGCAGAGTGGTTAGGAGTGATCAGGCAGGCAGGCAGGCGAGCAGTTAGGAGTCAGCAATCCTGGATTGCGAGAGGGATGTCGGACTGTGAGATTGGGCCTAGACCACCAGTCAGACATCTCCCAAGGGGTCCCAGATTGGAAAGGGTACAAGCCCAGCTGAGGGACACCCCTCCAGCATGCACAAATTTTATGCACCGGTCACTAGTTTACCTAAAATCATCATTCTCCCTCTCAGTCTGTCTCTTTAGCCTGCTGCTTTATTTTCTTACAGTCTTTATCACTCCTTGACAATATATCACATACTTGTTTAATTATTCCCTATAGTAGCATGTGAACTCTGTGAAGGTAAGGATTTCACTCTATTGGTTATTACTATAGCTTGACACCAATTTGCTGAATGAACCAATGAATGTCCCAAGGGCATAGGGGAATCCTTGAGTTTTAGTTCACAAACAAATAGGCCATGAGATTGGGGGATTAACAGTTAAAAATAAAATATCCATATAATTATAGATTATGTTCCAGCATTGATTTAACATTTTTATATTTAATGTTTGAACCTCACCCCACTGCTATATAAGTATTCTGAAAAATTTAGAAAATGGGAGAAAAACAATTTATAATTTTATTTTCCCATACACATCATGACTAACATAATTAAAAATTTTTTTATTACAGTGTTCAAAGATGGTCATATTCTTAAATGGTAGTACATCTAAAGATAAAATGATTTTCTCTGGTTTTCAAATTTTAACCTAAAGTTATGGGATTTTATGTATAAAGCAATTAAAAAATAGAAGCCACTGAGTAGCTTATGCCCCCCACTTCTGACCTTTTGTATTAAGTGAGGAATTCCTGTGCTACGGTAGATAACACTCCCAAGAATCATATATTTTTTTAAATTTTTATTTATTTCACAGAGGAAGGGAGAAAGAGAAAGAGATAGAAACATCAATGATGAGAGGGAATCATTGATCAGCTGTCTCCTGCAAGCGCCCCACTGGGGATCAAGCCCACAACCCGAGCATGTGCCCTTGACTGGAATTGAACCCAGGACCCTTCAGTCTGCAGGCCGATGCTTTATCCACTGAGCCAAACTGGCTAGGGCACAAGAATTATATTTTGGAGCCAAACTCCAATGTGACTGTAGGTGAAGAAAGGGCCTGTACGGAGGTAATTAGGGTTAAATGAAGTTCTAAGGGTGGGTCCAAATCCAACAGGTCGGATGCCCATCTAAGAAGAGAAGGAGATCTCAGGAATGTGTTTGCACAGAGAAAAGGCCAGGTGAGGAACTAGTGAGAAGGACACACCTGCAAGCCAAGGAGAGGAGCCTCACCAGAAACCGACCCTGCTGGCACTTGGTCTTAGACATCCAGCCTCTGGTCTGACTGTGAGGAAATAAATTCCTGTGTGTAAGCCACCCAGAGTGTGGTGTTTTGTTATGGCATCTGAGCAGATTAATACATGTATTATCTCATGTAATCCTCATTTCAAAATATATCCACACTTTCAGATAAAGAAATAAAAGCACAGAGAAGTTAAGCAACTTGACTAGTTTCACAGCTGGTCAGTAGTGAAACTGGAATAGAATCCAAGCAATTTGATTCCAGGGCCCATGTTCATAACTGCTTATATAATGTCACATAAGGTAGCGTGATTAATATCCATAGTAACACAAAACAGATGATTTTATTAGAAAACTCTTTAGCCAATAGCAAAAACCTATAGCAACAAACTTCTACATGTACTATGCGCAACTGACTTCTAATTTTATTCCCTTCCACCTTCTCTTCTCCCCATTACCCACATAGTAATATTTTATCTAGCTCAAGCATTGAGGCTCAGGGGTCTGGCAGTAAGCTGGTGAGGTCCACATTCCCCTGGAGTTTGCATGCTACTGAGGACAACCAGGCAGAAAGAGCAGATACACAAATAAAACAGGAAGTGTGGTGACAGTGGGGGCCAGCCTGTTCCTTTCCTTCCCATTCAGTTCTTGCATGTACACTATAACACAATCATGAGCAGGGCCCCCGTACCCAGGCCTTATGTTCCTCTCTCCATAGAGTCTGACTTCTTTGATTACTAAGTCAGGATGTTACTACGGTAATGCTTACCTTGGCCTAGATGTTACACATGATGAAAACAATAAATGCTAGCGTAAAGCGTATTATCTACTTTAGAATATTCCTGGCGTTTTACGGTAAGAAATACAAGGGTTGCAGGAAGAACAAAGGAAGGGGAAAAGATCATTTAAGCGAATCTGAATGGACTTTAGTTGTGCCAGCAACTTATTTGCACACATGGATGCTTATTATGTAATACTAAAGGCCCAGTGCACCGGTGGGGTCCCTCAGCCTGGCCTGCGGGGATCAGGCTGAAACCAGCTCCCTGACATCCCCTGAGGGGTCTTAGACTGTGGGACCCCTCCTGTAGGCCCAGCCCTCAGGACCTGGATGCCCACCAGCTCCCTCCTCCCTCCTCTCTGTGTCTGGAGTGCAGGTGAACCAGATTTGAGGCCAACAGTGCCCTAGCAGCAACCTAACTCACAGCTGATTCGTGAGGAATTTGGCTCTCTCCTCTAATGGCGGGAACATCTGCCCCCTGGTGGTCATTGCATGCTATAGCTACTGGGTGAACGGTTGGTTGAACGGTCGGATGGTCGCTTTGGCTTTTATATGTATAAAATGAGGCCCAGTGCACAAAATTCATACAGTGTGTGTGTGTGTGTGTGTGTGTGTGTGTGGGTGTCACTCAGCCCAGCCTGCACCCTCTCACAGTTCAGGACCGCTTGGTGGATGTCTGCCTGCTAGCTTAGGCCCGATTCCCAGGGGAATTGGGTCTAAACCTGCAGTCAGACATCCCTCTTGCAGTCCAGGACTCTCACAGTCTGGGGCTCTTGCAGTACGGGACCCCTTGCTCCTTATCACCCGCCTGCAGTGGAGGTGGGAGAGGCTCCTGCTGCTGCAGCGGTGCTCTCCAGCCATAAGCCCAGTTTCTGGCTGAGCAGTGCTCCCTGTGTGGTAGCACACAGACTACCAGGGCACAGCTACTGCATTGAGTGTCTGCCCCCTGGTGGTCAGTGCACATCATAGCAACCATTTAACCATAGCTGGTCATTTAGCCATTTGGTCAATTTGCATATTAGGGTTTTATTATATAGGATCATACCAGTAGTTAGGCACCTCCCATCTCTCCTAGGGTGTGAACATGAAGAAAGGAGTTTGGAATGAAGCATGAAGACTTAAGGTTGGTATGAGAAAGGCTTTGGGGTTTTGTACAGAAAGCAAGACATCAGAGAAAAGTGACAAAATTATGGATTCTCTTTCCCTGGAAAGCTTACTCAATCAGAGAAGCTGTGCTTGGGTGTGGCCTTCCTCAGAAGCAGGATAAACTGGCTCACCATAGGGATTCCTTGGCCCCAGGAGGCTCTGAGGGTTATAGAAAATCATTTGAAACTACTTCATATCCTGCCTCCAGACCCCTGCCACTCAGCAGGGCGAGAGTGGTGCCTCTTCCTGCAGCTTGTCCCATTTCTCGGCAGCACGTTGTGCCAAGAGAAAATACTCGAGCAGCACCACCAGGAAGCCCCATAACAGGAACAGGTGAGTGAAATGCACCAGGGGAATAGGGACCGACTCACTGAAAAGAGATGGAGCCAGAGAGAGGCTCCGCAGGTGGAAACACACCCACCCCTTTGAACAGGAACACAAGCAAGGCCTGCAGGAGACCTACAACAGCAGGCAGAGGACTGCGCTGTCAGAACTACAGGATCACCCTTGTTATCAAGATGGATCTTTAGAGCAGACCATTACTGTGCTCTAATAATCCGCCCCGCAAACAGCACCAGCCCCGAGCAAGAAGATGTGAAACAGACAATTACAAGATTGGAATCAGCAGTCTGTTATTTCACTTAAAGCATTAAGTGATGTGTGGCTCTGGGAGAGAAGAGAGAGTGCAACTCAAAATGGCAAAACTCTCAGGAAAAAAGGAGTGAAGAATACTTACTACCCTGTGTGAACCACTCCACGCATTTGATTCAAAGGCAGTAATCCAATAAGCCAAAGACACGCAGTATTCATTGGTAAACATTCACAGAACATCGGAATCGCTGTAACTATTGGCTTTTGAAATATCACATAGGTACAACTATACTTTATAATTTTACTCACTTTGATTTCCCCTGTTATGGGAAAGTGGACTGTCCATAAAAATCTGTAAGGGAAATTCTAGATGCTGTGGATTTCTGACACTCGTCTTGGGAACCCCAGGGTCTGAGAGCTTAAGCAATTAAATTCACGCCAGCTGTGTGTATTGGAACACCAGCAGGCTCACAAGCCGTACCCACATCACTCCTGGAGCCATGTCGTTTTTCTTAGCATCCTGTGGTTTGATGCCAATGCTGAGAACAAGGGAGCTGTGTCCCCACCCCCCATATAATGCTGACAGCTTTATCACCGTCTGCTACCTTCTCTTTTCTCTCCAAGACTGTCTGGAGTTTTACTGGTTCCAACCCTGATAAAGTGATGCAGAAAACTGTATCCAACTCTAAGAAACATGTACCCAGGTTCCAGGCCACGGAGGGTGGACCAGTCCCCTTACCTTTGTCATAAATTTCCTTCAGGACTCCTCGTTTTATCAGCTCCTCTCTGCTTTGCCTCATTGATATTTTCCTTTCCAGGGCTGCAACAAAACACAAACAGAGAAGCGGTTGTGAATAGGCAACAAAAATGGTTTTCAGAGGAATCATACTTCAATATATTGAAATGTAATGTATGGGAAAGCTTCTGTAAATTCTTCTTTACTAATAAAAAGGTAATGATCTCAGCTGACATTATAATGATACTATAATATGATCAGCACTGTAATCAGACATTTCATTTCATTTTAAAAACAATCTTCAAATTACCTGTGAGGTAGGCATGTCTATTTCATTTTATTTAAATTCTGATGTGTGGTTGAGGAAACTGTTGCAGAGAGAAGCTCAACAATCTGTCAGTCACCAGGTCACTGAGAAGAGGAACCAGGATTCAAAACAGAAGCACTACCTCTGATCTCAGTTTAACCTCTGCCTCTAGACGCGTTTCCTAAGTGTGGTATTTTTTCATAGCTGGGATTTCTTTCTTAAAGATCTAGCTCATGTAGACCAGGCCTCACTGAGGATTTTTTGTTCCCTAGCTATTACAAAAATAGTACGAAATTATCTCCTAGTGAGCTCTTTGGATGGAAAGATAGGGGCGGCAGGGCCCCTCCAGGGGACAGCCCAGCACTGCTGTCCTCTCTACCCTCCATGTTGGAGCACCTGAGTGAGGAATGAACTGTTCAATCACCATATGCACAGCCCTCCTCACTGGGACCCACCACTCACCTGAGCCAAAAGCTCCAGCAGGTGGGAGCTGGGGGGGTGGTAAGGGAGGTTTCTTCTCCAATCAGTGGGCATAATGGAGGGCAATTCAAGTAGAAAGAGCACAGAAGTAGAGCCATGAGGGGCAGCACAAAAGGCAGGCCTGGGGCCCAAGGTGGGCAGGGCAGTGAGCAGCCCGTAAGAAAGTTATTGCAGCAGCTGACGCTGTGGTTTCTGGGTGAATACTCAGTGCAGGGAAGACAGGTGATTTGGGTTGCTTTTGTCAGTTTGAGAATATCCACATCATTTCAATACACAGTTATTGAGGGGGGAAAAGCCAGTTATAAATAAGGGAACTATTTTATTTAGACAAATTCAGATATAGAATAGTCTCTCTCTCTCTCTCTCTCTCTCTCTCTCTCTCTCTCTCTCTCTCTCTCTCTCTCTCTCTCTCTCTCTCTCTCTCTCTCTCCTTCCCTCTTACACACACACACACACACACACACACACACACACACCCCCCTAGTATAATTTAGTGCAAATAACACCAATAAAAACAGGGGAAGATACACTGTCTCAGCAAGGGAACAGTGACTGCGATTCTACCTCAGGTACACACTGACTGAGACCTTAGGCCACTCTGCTGGTCTGGGATGCACTCAGCCCCAGCCACTCTGATGTGAAAGGCTCCGGTGGGACCTGGACATGCGTATTGTAACAGAAAGCTCTCTGGGCTATTCTCAGCCATATCAAAACTGAAAATCACTGAGGATATATTTTGGGATTTACTATTTTTAAAAAGTTATGTTCTAACTCTTTCTATTAACTTACAATAAATCAAGGGTAAAAAACGGAAAAAAAAAGTAAGGTTAGGCTACACTCATATACAATTTACTGAGAACATAATCATAAAACAGATACATATAGATATATACCCACAGAGGTGAGGGCAGGAGGGTTGTACGGGAGGACAAGCATCAGTGGTGGGGTGTAGGGACCCTGGAACAGTGTTGATTTGGGGATGATGGAGGAGTTTTAGGACACATACCCAATGGCATGTCCGGAGAGCAGAAAGATGTTCTTTATGTAGAAGAGAAAACCAGAGGAGGGAAAGAGAACTGCATCCACCTAGGTTAGAAAGTCCTGCCTGCTCTAAGGAGACATGCTGTGGGACAGTGGGAAAAGAGCAAGGGAAGATGGGGGGTGGGGTGGTTGGGAAGGTGGAGAAGGTGTTAAGCAAGAAGTTCGTTTACCAGGCCTTGTGGGTGGGTGACACAAAGACATGCTTTGCCACCCTGTTCTGAACCACATATATTGAACAGATTTCTCTTAAACAGAATGAGATTTCCAGGGGGCTTTTTAAAACCACAGAATAAAGTGGATGGACTGGACCCACAGTGCTAAGCAGAGTACCTGCAGCAAGAGGGGCAGGCCCTGGGCATGGAGTTCCGAGGCTGCAAGCATCCGTAGAACACAGACGGCCTCGGGCCACACACTGGGCTGTCAGGACCTCAGCTGCCTCACCACACTCACTCAGCAACAGGACCTGCTGCCGGTGAGGAAAGCCACTCTGCTAGGAGGTGATGGTGACCAAAGGGACAGTCCCTACCCTCACAGAATTTACAGTTATCAAATGATGTTACTTAATATGTGATTACAAGCTGAGAAAAGGCCCCTTTAAAAGAAGGGTCATGGCTCTACCAGAATTTATGATAAATAAGCTGGAACATTAGAAACAGTTTTTCTGAGGAAGAGACCTCTGAGCTGAGTTTGGAAGAGGAAGATACACTGTCTCAGCAAATGACCATCAGGCATGGGCTTCGGGGAAACACTCCAGACCTAGAAGGCTGATCAATGGTTCTTGATGGAGAAATCATGGTGCCAAGGACAAAAGGAGATCAAGTGATGTAACTGCAGCCCCCAGCACCAGGTGGATATAGTTTAAGAGGAGCAGAGGCACTGAGGCATGCAGGGCCTCATGGACAATGTTATTCGAAGAGCAGTGGAAATAAATGATAATAGCTGAGTATCTGAAAGATCATATCTGCTTTAGTGAGGAAAATGGGTTGGAAGTAGCCAGGTGGTAGGTGATTAGGTCCACTAGGCAGGAGATGATGGCAGCTTAGGCTAAGATGCTGGTGATGGAGATGGAGCCAAAGGATGCATTTAGGACATCTGAAGGTGGCATTGTTGTCATGACTTAAAGTGAAGGATTAGATGTGGGATGTGAAGGAAAGAGAGAGGGGTCAAGGACAACTCCTTTGGTTCCTGACTTGCATAGCTGAATGGATGGTGGTGTCCATTACTAAGGTAGGAGACCCAGGGTAAGAATCAGGATTGGAGGGATGATGGAAAGCTCAGTGTTAGCCTAAGAGGAAGCATCAAGACAAACATGTCTTCATAAGATAAGGATGGGAGTTAAATGAGACTCTGCCATCTGGTACTGACTTTGCTAGTCTCTCTCATGTACCAGTGCTCCTCACCTTTTTAATGGAAAGACTCCTGATGGCAAAGGAGTGATGCACCAGGGGCACCAGTGATATGACTGAAGCTGCCTGTCCCAAGCATGCCATTTCTTTAACGCATTGAGTTTTCCCTTAAGAACTAAGGTAGACCTCACATAATGTATCTGCTCTTATGTAAACAAGAAAATATTCCCCACCCACTACCACAAATTTCTGTTTGATTGACATTCTTGGAAGAGATGGCTTATTTATTCTTTGGCTTTGTACATTTACTAGTTCAGAACCCTTTGAGAAGGGTGGAATGTCACGTAATTTAATGCACTCTACAATACTTACCACAATCCTGTGAAGTATTATCTCCCCATTTTACAGATGAAGTACCTGAGACTCAGAAAAATTAACTTTCTCAGAGCCACACAGCAGTAAGTGTGTGGCTCTAAGAAAGTTAATACCTATCCCCTCCAGCTCCCCACAATACCACATTGTTATGAAGATGGCTATAATGAAGAGGCCCAGAGCACCCAATTAGGGGCTATGGGTAGGGGACCAGCTGGAATGGGGGAGGGGTTGTGGGAGGTTGGCCTGATGGCCCCCCTGACCAGTGCTTCAGGGGAAGAGCCATGGGTGGTGGGCTGTGGTTGCCCACTGACCACCAGGGGGCAGCTACTGCATTGAGCACCTGCCCCCTTGTGGTCATTGTGCATCATAGTGACTGGTCAACCAGTTGTTTTGGTCATTTGGTCATAACTTAGGCTTTTATATCCTATCTAATAAAAGGGTAATATGCTGGGGGTCAGAGATGACTGCCACAAAATGGCTGGCAGGAGAGGGCAGTTGGGGCAATCAGGCCTGCAGGAGAGGGTAGTTGGAGACAACCAGGCTGGCAGAGGAGGGCAGTTAGGGGTGAACAGGCCTGAAAGGGAGGGAAGTTTGGGGGGACCTGCAGAGGAGGGCAGTTGGGGGCAATCAGGGCAGCAGGGGAGCAGTTAGGTATCGATCAGGCTGGTAGGGGAGTGGTTAGGGGGTGATCAGGCTGGCAGGCAGAAGCTGTTCGAGGCAATCAGGCAGGAAGGCAGGCGAGCGGTTGGGAGCCAACAGTCCTTGACTGTGAGAGGGATGTCTGACTGCCTATTTAGGCCCAATCTCACTGGGATCCCAGATTGGAGAGGGAATAGGCTAGGCTGAGGGACACATACCCCTCCTCCCCTGGTGAATGAATCAGGCCTAAACTGGTAGTCAGACATTCTTCTCACAATCCTGGACTGCTGGCTCCTAATTGCTCATCTGCTTGCCTGCCTGGTCACCCCCAACTGCTTCCTCCTGTTGGCCTGATTGCCCCTCACTGCCTCTGCATGCTGGCCTAATCATCCTTAACTGCCCCCCCTGCTGTTGGCCAGGTTGCCCCCTGCTGGCCTGGTGCTCCTAACTGCCCCCCTGCCAGCCTGGTCACCTGTTACTGTCCCCCTCTTCTGGCCTGGTTGCCCCCAATTGCCCACCCCCACAGGCCTAGTCACCCCTCATTGCCTCCCCTGCCAGCCTAACCCCCCCACACTGACCCCCCTGCCAACTCAGTCACACACACATCCCCCCCCCCCCCCCCCCCCCAGCCTAGTCACCCTCAACTGCTCTCCAAACCCCTGCTGGCCTGGTCGCTCCACACAGCCTGCTTGTTCAGTCATTTGGTCATCCCTCACTAACCCCCCTGCCAGCCTGGTCAGAGGCAGCCATCTTGTGAAGGCATGAGGGTCAATTTGCATATTATCTCTTTATTATATAGGATTAATTCAAAATGAACTAAAAATTTTTTCCATTAAGGCCACGTGATGCTCAAAATCAGAGACACTGACCAATTTAGAATTTTTCCCCTTTAAAAT